GCGATGCGGTCTTGATTCCGAATATATGCGAGAATGGTATTGAAACAGAATGTTTTTCCTATTCCTGCGGGGGCATCAACAAAAAGGCATAGTGGTTAGTTATTGTCTCTGACATTTTTAACTCGAGTGAAGATAACATGTTGGGATGGGCGGAGGAGCGACAAGTTTGTGTCTAATGTTTTTTGCAGTGTTTCTTTATCATAGGAAGTTTCATCTTCAATGACTTGTTGAATGTCACGACGACAGGGTCTTTCAGCCAAAGCGTTTTCAACATTTAGGCCGTCAATGGGTGGGCGAATCAGACCAACATCTTCGAGATGTTTACCTTCTTTTTGTAGACGGTTATTGACATCAAGAAGCACCATGGTTTTGATAAGGGGGAGAGGGACATATGCATTATGAAGGTCTCTTTGGAAGTCGTATATTATTTGTTGCCAATGTGTTTCAAACATTTCGGCAGAATCAGCTGGTGCACAATGCAAAAGTATGTGGACAAATAAGTCTCGAACCATCGCAGAGGAAGCAGTAAATATTGCATCATGTAAGACAACATCAAACTGAGTATTATCGTTGAGTAGGTCGAATGCATGACATGTTGATTGATATGTTGGGTGAATTTTGTTATCAACAGTTCGTAGGCTCTCAGACGACATGGCTCCTTGGGAATAAGGTGACAAAAGAAGCATTCAGAGAAAAAAAGTGTCACCTCGTTTGGGTGAATGGTGTGTATTTGTCAAATTGTGTTGTTCTCCGTTGTCGCAGTATCCAATTTTTTTTTGCTTTGTTATATCGGAATTGTTGGATCATATCTTTGTATAAAGGTTTTCTTTCTTGGGCAATATTAACATGTGCAGCGTTCCATTTAAACCACTCGGTAAGTTCGATTTCTGGTGGAGGCAAATTTCTTAGATGTTGAGTACTCCTTGGTCGAAAATAAACTCATTGTTTATTTTCAGCATGTACAAGTAGTGCGGAAACGGCAGGATATCGTTCGGAAAGAGAACAATCAAAGATTCTCCAACATGCTTCGGCTGCACCGATCGTCCGCATATCTTGGAATGTTTGAATTTCATCTTTAGCATGTGTCATTTCGCCCACCATAGCTCGATTTGGGCTTTTCATAATGTATTCGAACATATACCGATAAGCGGTGGTGGAGACACAAATTTCGACGTTCAGATGACACCGATAACGTAAGAGGAGGAAGGAGTTGTAGGGCACAACCCAAGAGTTATCGATTTCATTGTTTTCACGTATGACAACTATTACACCACTGTCTCGTGTATTGCGACGGTATATTGGATAGCCTGTTTCTTCATTCCACGTGGTGTGGTCGGAGAATTCTTTCCGAAAGTGATGTGCGCATCGATCATTGCATATGCAAGGAGCTTGCATATTGAAGGGGCCACATGGGTTGTGTATCATGTGTGTTAGCGCGAGTTCGCGAAGGACCGGGTTCGGAGGAATTTCAACGCAAACTATAAAATCTATTTTTTTAGGTGTTGAAATTTTATATTCATTACTAAATGAGACAACTAAATGTGCATGTGGGAGACCGCGTTTTTGAAATTTTATGACATATATATACGCTGCAGTTGAACTAAAATATATGTGTATCATGAATATCGTAATGAATTGTTGTAACTATTTTTTGAAAACACGGGTGAGGAGGTCTCGTCTATCGGACGGTTGTTGGTGAGGGAAGAGGTGTTGTTCAATTTCTCGTCAATGCGAATTGCAAGTGATTGTGATAAAAAGATTTGGGGGACCATATTCTTGGACCGCCGCCATAGAATCTTGATATCGTCGATGCATATCTCGCGGACCGCCGACAAATGTGGCAAGTAGAATAATACGTTGGCCAATATTTTCAACGTTATCATATTGCATAAGGTGGTCATGAATATTTTGATAGAGTTCAGCGTGAATTTCGGTTTGATGAAGCCTGTTATATAATAATCGGTCGTTTTCTATCTTTGCGAATGTCATGCAAGCGTATTCGTGGAATAATCATGAGGCTCGAAATATTGGTGTCCTTTCGGTGTCTCGGGTATTAAGATGGAAGGCATAACACTCTCGTGCAGTTATTTGTTGTGCGGAAGAGTTTTGTTCGTCATCGGTTTCGAGTATCCAACCATTTTTGTCTGATGGGAATAAGAGAACATAATGTACAGGATCGAAAGCGCGGTTGGTTTCATGAATTTGGACAATACCTCCACCACGTCGGTGTATGATAATGTCGCGATTGGATGGTTGGTCGTGCATAAGCAAACAAAGTTATAAAATACCTTAAGGTCTATTGTATCTTCGTTCATGTTCCTCGATTGGTCGTGCATCGGGATTGATCACAATATGTCGCTCATGAATCATATCGTCAAGAAGTTCAAAAACAGTTATGAAATCTCGCACCCAACGATAACATTCAATAAGAAGGTGATGAAACTTTCGCAAAAGACGTTTAAATTGTTGGACTGTTGTGAGCGGGATTTCGTGCGGGAGATTAAATCTGATCAATCGTATGATAGTGACATCATATTCATCATGTGGGTCGTATATGTATAGTTGTGCGAAAGCGAGCTCATGACCAACATTTGGTACAAGCGGTCCGAGGTTTTGTCACAGTTGACCAACAATTTTCACCATTCCAGCCTAAGCTCTTGGAGGAGGTTGCGGTTCTCGAACAACTTGCGGTGCAAGTGTAAGTGCGTTATTGATTTGTCGTGCACATGAGCGCAGTAATCTTGCTTGAGGTGTGTTAATTTCCCATAAACGAAGAATTTGGTGAGCAGGTGTGCCGACTGGAGGATATTGCCAGAGTGGTGGATGTATTTTGCCTTTTCGACAACAAAGAGTGCTCGTGGGGCCATTTTGTGCAGCGCAATATGTGCATAGTGCTCTATTTCCGAGAGCACATATACCAGTCGGTATATGCCGTACAATGACTGATGCGGTATGTTCTCGAGCACTGTTTCGTCAGACGAAAAGGTGATCAGTGTGCGATTGTCTGGATCGGTGGCAACATCCAGCATTTGCATTTCGAGCTCTTCGTGCAGCAGCGTGTGATGATTCGCCTGCGGAGAGGAGACGAATGAGGGACAAAGATAACAACCACGCAAACCACAGAGAAAATAAAAAACAAAATCACATGGTAGGATAGTGAGAAGATCAAAATAACACACAAAATACACGTGCCACAAAATACACATGTGCCATTTAGGACCGTGCAATAAAACTGGATTTGAAAATTGACACATTGTAACACCCGACATAGCGGTCGGCGAAGCGGGTTTGCACATTCGTGGTGGAGGAGGTATCAATCTATATTTGAACTGTTGCAAGAGAAAAAAGTTTCCGCAAAAAAACGGAGTTAAAAACAAACAAACAAAGGGAACAATTGGTGGTGGGCAGTTTCTTGCACCACCTTATATTGAAAAGACTGGATATGTTTTTTTTTTCCCCCATAGGTTTCCATATACGTATCCAGCCGAAAATCGGGTTTGAGCAGTGGCAAGGAAGGAGGAGGAGAAAAAACAATGGAGGAAGAGGAAGATGATATGAAGGGTTTTTCAGATTTTGCCACAGAATGTGTAGCATGGGTGAGATTTCGAGTTCCATTTTAGTAAAATGGAAAAAAAAAAAAAAAAAAGAGCTAGGCTACCAGAGTGGCCTAGGGTCACTTGCCCGACCGGGCAAAAAAATATAAATAAATAAATAAATACTATTTTTGATATTTATTTTTTATTTTAAATTTGGTAACGAATTTCGATGTGATCCTGAGTTTTTTTTGCTTGGCCCTTCCGCCCGGGACCCGGGCGGCCCGACTGGTAGTCTAGAAAAAGAGGACAATAACGATCCTTTGGACGTGAAAGCAGTTGGATACAGAATTCGTGGTAGAGGTTCGTGGCCTGCAATTGAAACCCCCCCCATCCAAAAAAGAAAATAACATCAACGGTTCCAACGTGAAAGTAGGTGGATGCAGAATTTGTAGCACGGGTGAGAGTTCGAGCTCCATTTCAGCAAAATGGAAAAAAAAAAAAAAAAAGAGGACAATAACAATCGTTTGGACGTGAAAGTCGGTGGAAACAGAATTTGTAGCAGAGGTTCATTATCTGCAATTGAAGTCCTTTCCTCTTCAAAGAAAAAAGAAGGAAAAAAAAAACATGCATCAATAAGAGCTCCCTCCCCCCCTACGTGAATTCCTTCCTTCTCTCTCCTGACGTGCCTCCAACGTGAAAGCAGGCGGATGCAGAATTTGTTGCATGGGTGAGAATTCGAGTTCCGTTTCGTCTTGAAATAAAAAAAAAAACTAAAAAAACATGTTTAAATCAGAGTTCCTCCCACCCAGGCCTGATTTCCCTCCTTCCCTTTCCCGATTTGCGTCCAACGTGAAAGCAGGCGGATGCAGAATATGTAGCACTGGTGAGAATTCAAGTTGCATTTCAGCAAAACGAAAAAGAAACAAAACGAAACAAAAAAGAAGGGAAAAAAAACACGTATCAATCAGAGCCCCCCCCCCCGCCCGATTCCCCTCCTTCCCTCTCCCGCGTCGCTGCTATCCGGTCCAGCATGAGGGGAGGTCAACTTTTGTGGGGTCTAGCTCAGGTAGCACACCCAACAAACTGTCCAAATGCAGACCCATGTTCTAACCCAGCTGCAATCATATCACCATAACATAATAATTTTGGAATACCTGGGGCAGATGATTCAATCATGGTATGTTGCC